TTTGGTTTCTAGCCATAAATAAAGGACATTGAACCTATAAGTTGGGTTCTTAGAGAAGCTAAATAAGAAGGAGAACCCAAAGAAGATCCTGAATATTTCTCCTGAATATTAAACTTCATCAGGCGATGAAAGGAGACAGAGACAGAGAACCACATTGGAGCACCGGACTGAAATCTCAAGGTCCAAATCAGGAGCAGAAGGAGAGAGAGCACAAGCAAGGAACTTAGGACTGGGAGGGGTGCACCCATACACTGAGACAATGGGGATGGGGAACTCACCAAGGCCAGCTGGCCTGGGTCTGAAAAAGCCTGGGTCAAAACTGGTCTCGCTGAACATAGCGGACAAGGAGGACTACTGAGACCTCAAGAACAATGGCAACGGGTTTTTGATTCTACTGGACCTAGTGGTTTTGTGGGAGCCTAGGCAGTTTCGTGGATGCTCACCTTACTAGACCTGGATGGAGGTGGGTGGTCCTTGGACTTCCCACAGGGCAGAGAACCCTGATTGCTTTTTGGGCTGACGAGGGAGGGGGGCTTGGTTGGGGGAGGGGGAGGGAAAGGGGAGGCGGCGGTGGGGAAGAGACAGAAATGTTTAATAAATAAATAAATTAAAAAAAAAAAAGTAAAAAAAAAAAAAAAACCAAAATGGCTGGCTGGGTTTAGCCAGCTGGTACTTAACTGGTTTAATGACTCACCTGAGCAAATTACCAATTATATTTGAATTTCAGATTTTTGTCTATGAAAATTAAAGATGGAAATATACAATGATTTTTTATAACAATGTTATGTAGCATTATATTTGGTATATAAGGGCACTCAGTAGATATCTGTCTTGGTTATTACTGTTGCTAATATACTGATAGGAGCCTTAAGTAATAAGATATGCTCACAGATCAAGGTAAGAATTAATTTTGTCATAATGGTTATGAATTTCAATGATAACCTCAAAACTAGTTATGTAAAGCTTCGTTGAGTAAAAAGAGAATGACATCTTGAAATTATAGATATAGTTATTTAACCAAGATTAAGATACAAGTTGTCATTGGCCAATAATAAAATAGTCTTCTAAATATAAAAAAGGATGAACATTGTCCCTTTATGTTAATCATCACTGATTGAATAAATACAAATTAACTACATATACCTAAACATGAAAATCAATCAATGCCACCATTAAAATGAAATTACTTCAAAAAAATAAAGAAGCTTACAAGAATGCATCTTATCTATAGAGACAACGAAAGAAAACACCAAGGTAGGAAACAAAGCAAAATTCACAAAATGTGAAAAGTACGAGACCAACCACACTCATCACATAAACAAATGTGTGATACAATTATGAATGCGACAAGATATAGAACCACCCAGAAAGCAAACCTGTGGGCATGCCCTTGAGGATCATCTAGATTAGACTCTGAATAATTTTCAGAAAAGTTTTTCTAGATTAAGTCACTAGAGCTGAGAATAGGCAGCATCCTATGAGCTGAAATCCTGGACATAACAACAACAAAAAATATGTGGTTTCTCAACACTGGTTACTGAGCTTCCTGACTGTGGATGCCATCTTATCAACTGCCTTAGCTTCTGACTCCAGGATTCCCTTCCCACAATGATTTGTACCCCTGAGCTGTGAGCTGAAACGAACACGCCCTTTCTGAACTGCTATTATCAGGGATTTTATTGCAACAAGTAGCTAACACAGTATGTGAATACATTTTGTGTCTTACCAATATGAAACTTCTGAGAATGATAGGTTGAGAAGTTAGTTCCATCATCATATAACAAAACAATTCTATATGTGTTAAAATGGAAGAGTCATTAACACTCAGAAATTTTTATAATTTTAAGTTTTCTATAATAGACAGTTATTATTTTTTAACTAGACAGAAAGTAGATTGGATTAATTATGTTAAGCTCTTATTAGAATATTCGTCACAGAGTAAGCTCAATTTAAGGGCTGGTTTATAGTCATCATCATTGCTATGGCTGTGCCAATGCCTTCGGAGTGATATGTCAAAGTCAAGATACTAGCAATAGTTTTGCAATGTGAAAATTCCAAGGCTTTACAGCATGGCTGGTCGTATTTGTGGGCAGTCTCTAGGGTGAAATCCCATGTACTGATTTCAGTTCTGTGTGGTGTGGCTCATTCATCATCATCATCTCCCTTATTTGGAGACTAATGAGTGGCATATCAAAGATACTTACTTCCATTATTTTCACTACAAGAGCAATAATGATATTTAAATTGCTCTGCAGTTTATAAAGTGGCTCCAGTTCTCTTTTCTGAGATAATAGAAAAATTAAGCAAATTATCATTTGCATTCTCTGTCCTCCCCATCATGTAAATTCAGCTATTGTGTTGATTTAGACCAGCCATTGATTTGTATGTGAGGCTCTTACCAGCTGTTGTGTATAGTATAGAGGGGAATGAAAGTGTGTGTGGTTCTTGTCCTCTGGAAGCTTACTTTTTATTGCAGACAAGATCTAACGCATTGCCCAAACTGAAGAAAATAAGCTGAATTTTACTGAGCTTATGGTTTCAGTGGGTAGAATTCCATGAAGGCAAAGCAAAGGCATGAAATCATGAACAACTAAGTAGTCACATCTTGACTCAAAATAGCACAAGTCTTCAAATTTCAAAACCTGACCTCAGGAAAACACATTCTCCAGCAAGGCCCTACCTTCCATAAAAGCATCAAATGGAAACCAAGTATTCAAACATATGAACCTACAGGAGCCATTCTCATTCAAGCTGCCACATCCTACTTCCCAGTCCGCATAGGCTCATGGCCATAGCCTAAGGCAAAATACAATTGGTCCACCTTCTAAAGTCCCCATTGTCTTTTACAGTCTCAATAGCCTTTTAAAGCTCAGAATACAACATCTTTTGTGAGACTTATTCAATCTCTTAATCATAACTGCTGTAAAATCAAGAGCAAATTCCATGCAGCCTTATGACATGCAATGGCAGAGAACACACATTACCATCCCAAAAGGGAGAAATGGGGGCAGAGTGAGGAAATATTGGACAAAAGAAAGAGTGCAACATAGCAAGACAACTCCAAACCCCTTGACTTCAAGTCTGAAGTGAAAGGGCTTGTATCTTGTTCTACCCTTCCAGCTTTGCTGCCTGCAAGATTTCTCTCTCCTAAATACCCACACCTGGGTCTGATGTTGAAGAAATAGTCTCTCTCATATATGATCTCATTAGTTGAGTTTTCATACAAGTAACCGTAATTACCACGGCCTCAGAATACATCATACAAAGTCTTATATGTGTGTGGTATGTGCAAGTTCATGTGCATTCGTTTACACACATGCACAGAGATACATTATAGATGATCAAAAATTAACATGAATTAATATTTTAAATAAAAACCATAACTCAAATGTCTAAATAACTCAAAGCACCTATTAAGCATATAAATTTATTTACACATAAATAAGTTTATTTTTCTCAGTAAATCTTGATTATTTTATATATTTCATTTTTAATGATATATGCAGAACCTGACTAAGAGCTGCCCTTCTAAACTGATCAAGTTGAGTTTAAACCTTCTCCGAAGTTTTGTCTACATCTGATATTTGTGTCAAGTCTGCCCCCAATGTTTTTCTGACTAACCATAAATTCTACTGGGTCAGTTATTAGGATAACTCTGCTTTCACGTTTGTGGAAAACAGAGACAAATATTCTTCTAGTCTTCTGAAATGTATTTCTTTCTTTCTTTCCATTGCATAGGACCAGAAAAAGCAATAGGAGAAACTCCACTGCAAAAGGAGACTGGGTCTTTGTTTCCTAGCCACCCAGACCCGAATAATCACATAAAACTTTATTAATTACAAAACTGGCCAACGGCTCAGGCATTTTCCTAGCTAGCTATTACATCTTAAATTCACCCATTTCTATTAGTTTATATTTCACCATAAGGCTTGTGGTTTGTTACCTCACACATCTTGCTTCTTGGGTGGCTACATAGTGTCTGCCCGGCTCTGCCTTCTTTCTCCCTGTATTTAGTTTAGTTTTCCTACCTTGCTATATTCTGACCTACCATAGGCCAAAGCAGCTTCTTTTTTAACCAATGATAATAAAACATATTCACACCATACAGAGGGCAATCCCACAACCACCTTTGTTGAGATTTCAGAAACTCCTTATAATCACTTCAAAAATGTTCAAAAAATACTTGTCTGTTTCTTTTCTAAACACTTGCTCACCGAATGGAAGCTTCTAGTATGTATAAAAACACACCACAGAACACTGTTTCCGTAGACAAAAACTAACAGCCTCTCTAACCTGACACAAAGTTGCTCTCTTGTCAAATGCTTTTGTGCTATTACAAAAAAATTTAAATGAATGCAATGAGGATTTTCAAAGCACATTAAAAATGGTTATCTGATGGTATCCATTACTGAAGGTCTTGCCCAGACTCTTCTCCCAACTAGCCAGAAACCTGGTTGTTTTGTATCTTCTTTATTCAACAGCAAATCTGAGCCATATTTCATTCAAACTGCTCACAAGGGGGGATCTTGGGAGGCAATTTTCAACCCTGTGATTTTAGAATCTATTAAACCTCTTGTTCTTATAATTATCTTCACATTTTCTCCATTACTTAATATAGAAGGCAGAATAAAGAAGCTGCAATTTTGATTACAAGATTGTTTTAATCTCATTACTTCTTCATATCCACGTTTTCTCTTTAATTTCTAATTTGAAACATATTAAAATAATAAAAAATTTTCAATGATTTTAATATTAATTATTTGATAGGCCTAAGATCCTAATCATTCAAACATCTTATGTCAATGAAGCACCTACAATTTTAAACACTATGAAAAACTGTTATAATTTATCGAATAAATTAAGAGCATTATATTTAATTTGATAATGCAACAGTTATCAAACTGAGTATGAAGAAGAGAAATAGCACATTACTGGAACCCCTAAAATAGAGCTTCCTACTCTTTGCTACACAGAGTGACCTGGTGTCTTTCATTTCACAGTCACGGGACACACTGTGAGACAGCCATGTGTCATTGCTACACATAACTCTGACCCGGGAACTGCATCGTCTTCTTAGACACAAAGACCAACAACATACTGACCTCAAGAAGCCCACAGGTCAAAACCTGAAGCATCATCGACACGGTGAGGTGAATAAGTGTGTGTGTGTCTGTGTGTGTCTGTGTGTGTCTGTGTCTGTGTGTATGTATATGCCTGTGTGTCTCTGTGTGTCGGTGTGTTGGACCATTTAGGAATCAGTGGCTCTTCCTGAGTTTATTATTATTATAGAAGTACCCTTTGATGGCTGTGGTGTACAGCTATTTAACCTTTGCAGATTATTTATTCTGTATTGATATGTATACAATTTCCTCTGCTTTGATAGTTTACCAGACATCATGAAAGGGTGGCACAGGGGGAGGTTGCAGGCCTATGAAGGTTCTATTATGCTCTGGTTTGCAAACTCTAATTGTTGTGCATATATGTACATATGCATATATGTACATAGCTGTATCAAAGTATATATATATAGTATATGTGTATAAATATGTGAAGTCAATTTTAACTATACTTACGTCTAGTAATAGTCATAGAGAATTATATACAAATAGAAGATTCAAATTTTGAAAATAAGAACAAGGAATCTCTAATATATACTTCTGCCCACTTTCCGTCAGAGAATGTACATGCAACAGAAACCATGAGCCCAAATATAAGTAGAGTATATATCACTTTTTTTTTTTTACTTAGTAAGGCAGTGAACTTGCTAGTGCTATGGCATTTCACAGTTTAAATTATTCTATGAAATTACAGGGTTTGATTTATCTGCTCTTTCTTCCCATAATTTTTCATTGTAGTACAATATTGTTAAAACCAATCCAGAGATCTTCACCAGCCTTAACCATACTTTTTCAGACGATGAAATGTACCTTTTCTCAATCAATTTCATTTCCCCTGAAAAGTCCATTCCTGGTTTTAAGGAAGACGGGTAAACACTTCTTCAGAGACACTACACAGATGTTCTCTTGGGAGCAGTAGGGCAAGAGTTGGGGAAAGAGTGACACTAGTCTCCTCTCCATGTTGTCCTTGAGGCTCCCACATTACAAAACAGAAGTGATCAATGAATTAAATGCCATAATATTTTAAAACTCTGACTATTCAGGTCAACATTTTCCCCCAGGGTTTCCATGAAGAAGCTATACGTGTGGGAAGCACACATATTATTATTCACACAGACCAACTCTCAGGTTCAAGATAGATCGAGAGAGAGAGAGAGAGAGAGAGAGAGAGAGAGAGAGAGAGAGAGAGAATTCAAAGGTTGTCACTAATGAACTTACTGTATAGGACAAAAAAGACGAAAGTAAAACACTTGGCTAAGAAAACTCTTAGGGAAGGAAGGTGTTGTAGCCACTCAGAGGAGGCCAGAACAAACACTATAAATTTGAAGATTTGGTTGAACCATATAAACTTGGCCCAGGCACACTCTCTTGTGACTACCTTTCCAGATACCCAAGCAGAGAGAGCAGAGGATTTCTAAAGGTAAGAATCATTACTTGGATACCTCCCATTGACGTAGCTGTGATGACTATTAGCATGCATGAAAGGATATGAACTTTTATGTAAGAACAGGGCACAGTTGTGGCACTATGGCACACTCACCAGCCTGTTCTTGTGCAACCAGAGTAAAGCTTGCTTTAACTTGGCCTCAGTTCATGGCTGTAGCCTTCCTTCTTGCACTGGGTGCGTTTAACACCAGCATCTTTTGTGAAAACTCTCTGTTGACTTGGATGTGAGGAAAGGAAATAGGGGAAGCGATTCTTCCCATGAAATCAAAGGGAAAACAAGACTGAGGAAGGGTGTCGAGCAGAGGGAAGCTCAATGGGTAAAACTAAGCCAAAAGGACTGCTAGATGCTTTCTAGTGTTGCTAATAATTAAGGCATTTAACAACCAAGAGATTGATGTTTCTTTTAAAAGCAGACCACAGCACAGTGTGAGTTATCCACCTTTTCACCACTTTGTCTATGACTCAGCTACTCATAAATTCTTCTTAACTGTCAGTGTCTGATGTTTTAAGAGGTCATGCCAGTGTTCGGTAATGTGATCTGGCATGAAAATCAAACAACTGCCCAGGTGCTCAGAGTCAGAGGACAGAGTGAGAATGTAGCCAAAGCAGTAACCTATGTGGAAGAGGGGCCTTTGATCTCCAAATCCAGGAGCATGAAGAAAGAAAGGTTGAAAAAATCCCATTTCTATTGAGACATGGACAAGGTAGCCCTAAGGAAACTAGATACTTAGACTAGACAATTTGATCCGAACATTTTTTTTTTTTTTACCTCTTGGTCCCAATATTCCATTATAACCTTTTCTTAGAATTCAGTAGAAAAAAAAAAGGAGTCTAAAAGAGAGAAAGGAAATCTCCAACCCTGATTTAATCTCTGATATTCTGGGATATTTCTTAAAGTCAAAGCCTTAATATTTAAGCCAACATTGCTTTCAAGATCTGTTCTCATATGATTCCAAGATATCTCTTGAGCTGTATCTTTCACTACATCTAGGTGCTATCATTTCAGAGGCTTGGCTGCTATCCTAGTTGGTGATAAGACATTCTGAACAACAGTACTTTGAGGAGGGAAAGGTTTACTTCATCTAACAGCCCATAACTCATCATGAATGGAAGCCAGAGCAGGAACTCAAGGCAGGAACTTGGCGTCAGAAACTGAAGCAGAGGTCACAGAAAAATGGTGCTTACTGACTCACTCTTCACAGCTTGCTCAGCTTGCTTTCTTACATAGCCCAGGACTGTTTTCTAGAGAGTGTCAATGGGCTTGGCCTTTTCACATTAATGGTTAATCAGAAAAATGCTCTATAGACTTGCCTATAGGCCAATCAGAAGGAGGCATTTTCTCATTTGAGATTTCCTCTTCCAAGGTAACACTGGCATGGGTCAAAGTGACAAAATCAACTAACTAACTAACTAACTAACTAGCTCACTTGAATAACATGAACAACTGGTGATCCCATATAGTGTTGCTACAACATGGAATGGAACATTTCCTCGATGAAGAAAGGAAGAAAGTTCATGAAGGTAATGAAGTCAACACAGGAATCTCTCAAAACTCACAAGGATTCATAATTCTCCTCTCCAAAGTTACAGAGTGGTAAAAAGTTGCTGGAGAGAAAAGACTGTCAGGTGAAGGTTCTCAAGGGACTCTAAAGATGCACCATTTATAGTGATGCAGCTGTCTGGGGGTTTGTGAGTAACCTCTCACCTATAAGCCAACAACTAACCCAATAAACAGTGATTGTTTCTTTGATTTGGCTTTCGTGGCCTATTTGAGGTTTATTTGATGTTTATTCCTATCTCTTAGGAAAAGTCATGCAATGTTCCAGAACAAGCTGATAATGGCACCAACTTGAACTGGACAGACTCTCATCTCCTAAGGTAATAATAATAGTATTAAAAAAAACCTGCCATTGCCCACAGTACCAAAGATACTAATAGTCATGTCAGGACCCCTTGCCCCTTTCTTGTTAAGTAGGTGCAGAATCTTCTGTTTACTCAGCTAAGAGGATTGAATTACCATCTCAGATAGGAAACCAAAGATTGTGTTTGTTATAGCTTATTTTAGTTATTCTTTACTGCTTCCTGAACTGACTAGGCAAGAACATGACTTCTTTGGTCTCTGAATTGTGTCTTCATTGGTATTGTGGAGACTCAAGTTTATGACCTGAATAAGAGAAATGAAGTCAAAATCAAATTAGTACCATGAAGAGATACATTGCTCAGAATTTTACAAACTAATGTTCTTCTAATCAGTCTTTGAGAACTGTAATTAATTCAGCTACTAGTGTGTAAATTTCAAATTATTTGCTCTGACAAAGCAAAGGCACAAACTATATTGTTGCCATTGTCCACACTGTCCTTTCCCCCACCCCCACCCATTTGCTCACTAGGCTAAGGTGCACACAGAATTTCAGCCCAATAAGCTTGGTCCCACCTTCAGGTTCTTACATCTCATTTATCTGACTCCTTGAAAACTTCTCACTTCAGCATGATACTCTCTGCTCTACCACCTTTTCGGAAGGGTTTCCTGTCTTTCTACCTAAAATTATTTCTTAAATACTCCAGTGTACACAGTTATTTTTTTTTATTTTCTACCTAGCATCTACCATCATTAAAAATTTATCAACAAGCTAATGATATCTGTCTATATCTATATCTATTTATCTACCACCTATCTATTGTTTTTTATCTATCTATCTATCTATCATCTATCTATCTATCTATCTATCTATCATCTATCTATCATCTATCTATCTATCTTCTATCATCCATCTCCATTGTCTCTATCTGATCCGTCATCCATTTATCTATCTATCTTATTGTATAACTATTTTCAACTATATCTACCTATTATTTATATTTATCATATAATATGTGTAGCATTTATCTATCCATCACCTATATAGCCTATATTACTCTTTCACATGTGTCTACCCTTCATTTATCTGGCTGCATATCTAATCTAACAATTATTTTCTCTAACTATGTAAAATATCCCCACTGGAATTTCTGAGAAGCATGGATTTTTTTCCTGCTCACTTTTCTACTCAGCATTCACAACAGTGCAGCTCCTATAGAGCATTTGGTCATGAACAAGTACATACATTCAAGAGACCTGGGAGGGGCAAGCTCAGGGTATCATTATTTGTTTCTGATTTCGTTGCTAATAACAAATGATTCTAATTCTCAAAACTAGAGAGTGAAACCTTCAACTAAGATAATTTTGTTCACTGTTTAATGAAATTCTACTGGGAATATAGTAAGCTTGTGCATCATTTTTAAACATTGCAAACTGTGAGATTTTTTTAAAATATAAATTAGGTCAGCCCTTGCACAAATTAAGATTAACTATTATGTTTTCAGGAATGTAATGATATATGATACACCAACTATCCCAGACTCTTTTGCTTTTTTTAAATAAAATCTAAAGGAAATAACTAATTAGTCAATTTGAATGATTTCCAAATAACATCACCAGTCTGTGCTTGTCTACACTATCAAGGTGAATAATTCATTAGCATTTATGAGAAGTGCTTGGAGAACACTGGCAGTGGGAGTAA